CACACCCTCAATGTGTCATCACTAAGAGCCAGGGACTCCCACAGGTCTACAAACTCTGCCTGAGGAAGCTATTCTCCTTTAAGAGACCCTCAGTTTCAGGGCCTCCTTGGCTTCCTGGAAAGATCAACCTGGATGCCCCTTATCTCCTGGCACCACTGGCAGAGCTCTGATGTCTTCTCCTCTCCCCACCAGACCTGCTCCCAGCCCTGGTGACTTGGCAAAATGCAGCTGAAGCCCATCAGTCTGTGCCAGGATCTTAGCTCAAACACAGCCCCTCCTCCATCGCTCTCATATTTGGGGAGTGCCCTGAAAGCCCAGCACCCTGATGTCAAGCTAGTTACCAATCAGACTCATACATCCAACAGGTCTTGCCTGCTGGGAAAATCCTACTCATCCCTCACAACCATGCCCAGGCTCTGCCTCCTCTTACAGAGAGCTTTTCAGTCCACTCTTTACTGAGCGGGACACAGGCTTCCTGAGGACAAGGCTGGCCTGTGCTGGCTTTACTTCTGTTCTCCCTGCACCTACCATAGGGCCTGGCACATAATAGGTATGAATAAGTATCTATGAACCCTTGAAATGAAACCTTTCTGATTAGACCACCTTAGTGTGTTCTTCTACAAAAGATATCATCAGAACAAAGGCCTTTCTGGAGAACAATGACACTAACAACTGAGTTCATAAACACCTCTTACAAAGGAGATGATCTCAAACCTACAGAAAACAAGTTTACAGATTCAATGGAACAGTAAATCCATCAAGCCCAGCCTAGAGCCTGCCACACTTCTCTGACCCCACTCAGTACTAAGCGCCTTTCAGCTCTGTCCTCTAACACTGCAATCCTGTAAGAATCCAACAGGTCATTCCTTCACTCTTCACTCTATGCAGGGAAGGAATGCAGTAGCAGCCCTGATGGGGAAGGCGGCAGCAGCATGGACACATGTGTCTGGGATCAGGCGAGGACATCTGACAAGTTAGGCTGCTCCACTGTGCAAACATCCCAGGGACTCAGGGCTCACCTACAAAACGGGTACATCATCATTTGCTCCAGCCACTTTCCAGAGCTGCTATGAGGGTCAAACTAGAAAACACAGGAAAGCTACAGCACCGGTTAATGGGGTCAGAAATATACCTCCAACATGGACGGAAACAAGCCGATCAATGTCTGCCTCCCCTGTAACTGCCCTCAGCCCCCTCAAAAACACGCTTAGCCCATACCAACATCTGGCTATATCCCAGCCATGAGAAGGTTTTCAGGGATTCCATAAAGAGACCACGAGGGTACACTCACACACTCACCATCTGATTGTGGTCAATTGGAGCAGGCCACTAGAGCATATATCACCTGGTACCTTTTCAAAACCAAGCTTTTCAGATTAGCTCAACAACTATATCTATCACATGTAAAAATGCTAGAAAAGGAAGCCGAGAAAAGATGTCCACCTTTTTTAGGCTTGCAGGCAATACCTACAATAAGGCAATCTAACATGACACCAGGCCTTTTCCAACAAGATTCACTTAAAACTGAAATATTATAAGCCAAGTGAGGTCCAAGGTTCGATCCCTGTAACCAGCCAGCCACTCAAAAAAAAAAAATAATAAAGCCAGTTGAAGGAATCCAGGTCTCTAAGTTTAAACCCTCCCCTTCTATAAAATTGCATCAATTTGTAGACTATTAAAGTGGTCTTCAACACAAAAATAAATAAATACATAAACACTCCTCTTCTGAAAAGTTCTTTGCTCACTAGCTCAGCTGTAATCTATAATAAAAGGACTATAGAGAAAACAATCCATTTTTCTCTCTGCAAGTTTAAGAAATGCCCCTCACTTTCTTTGACAAGATGAGACTCCAGCAACAACATTTTAGTCAACATTATAACTATTTTTGAGATGTTCGTTTTAAGATGCCATTCTCATTAACACTAGTTCAAGCACATTAAGTATATGCACTTCTATCAGACGGTGGAAAGGGAAAATAAGAGCTTTTTTTTTTTCCTTTTTGTCTTTTTTTCGTGACCAGTAACGGAATCGCAACCCTCGGTGTCAGTGGGCTGGTGGCAGGTGTCGGAGGAACACTGGCCAAAGGCTAAGTGACGAGTGACCTTGAAAGTCAGGCTAAGGAAATGGACTTTGGTTTCTCTTTTTTTTTTTTCCTTTTTGTCTTTTTTTCGTGACCAGTAACGGAATCGCAACCCTCGGTGTCGCGCCGGTACCGCGCTCAACCAGTGAGCGGACCGGTCTCTATATGGGATCCGAACCCTCGGCAGGAGCGCCGCCACACTCCCAAGCGCTGCACTCTACCGAGTGCGCCACCGGGCCGGCCCCAGAAAATAAGAGCTTTAAAGGCTTCCAATAAATAAGTTTCCTATCTGTAAATGCACTAGATGGAGATAGAAGTGAAAGATGTAATAGCTTCCCATGATCAGAATTTCAGAATCATAGAATTCTGGTATTCAAGGCAGCTTAGATGCTGGCCTAGCTCCTTGCAGTGCAGATGAGAGGACTAAGTCCCAAGATCTACCCAAGACCACAGAGCCCTCCCAGGCAGGCAAGTTATGACATCACTAGGGAAACAGACAAGGCTCTTACTCTTAGCAGTCTTGCCCCCAGCACAAGCTCTTGGCCAGGCATTTTGCATGAACCACAAGGGGGACAGTCCCTAGGAGACAGGAAGTATTCTGAACACTCAGGAACACACACTCTGGGTTGGCACAAAGATCACTGGTGGAGTTAGCAGACTTCCTACACTAAACCTAAGGTCTGATGATGAAAACCTTTCCAAGGCAGTTGCAATCATGTTATTTCATAACTTAAACACCTGCTTTGTCATAATCACTAGAAAAAGACTGGGGAAAGAAGATTAAGAAAAATTAAAAACCTCCTCTCTGATTTCCTGTGTCTGTTTAGATCACCCTAAAATAGGGAGTCTCCCTAATGCTGACTTTAATGAGGACTTCCTAAAGCTGGTCCAACTGGTGTTCAAATCCCTGGACTGGAAAACAAGTTTATGAGCAGCAGAGTCACCTGAGTCTCACCATGTGCATGCTGTTTACCCTGAGATGACAGACCACTGGTCCCACAGCTTTGATAAATGCTGCACAATGCAAAGACTCTACAATCCCTTTGAAGCTTACTGGGGCCTCTATATGACTAAATGCTATAAAAAGAAATCTTGAATGCAGCAAGAGTGTGAAAGGAGGGAAGTCACAAACACCACACACTAGTGGGGGAAACCCCATTCTAGACACTAAATTGTTAATGTTAATTTGTTACTTGTTCTCTGATCTGCAAAGTATATAATCATATCATCACTAAAAAAAAGTCACCTGCTTCACCCCCAATGAACCTACTTGCCATCAAGGCCTACTGCTTACACTGGCCATGCCTATGTCAGGGAACAGAGGCAGCCAAGACCAATGTGGCTCAGCAATTCACACCAGTTACAAATGTAAACCAGGAGACCTCAAACTCTGACCAGAGGAACAGCTCAGTGTTGGGGGAAGGAGGCTGGTAATGAGGGGCTTACCCATCTCTTCCTTTGCTGACAATCTTCACCTCAAAGTAATAAATGCCACAAGCAGCAGGTATGGGGTGGGTGGCACGCACTGAGGCTGCATCTTTGTGATTTTTGCCATGACCTAATAAGAGAGAGCAAGGAAGAAATTTCAGCAAAAGGAAATGCAAATGGAAGCCTCATTCTTCTCTGCTCCATAACAATTTTACCCTCTGTGGCCAGAGGAAGTCCTTACACGAGGAATAATTAGGCAACTGAGTAAACACACAGACCTCCCACCTTTGGCTCAACTCCTCCTGAGAACAGCAGTCCTGCCTGAGACACTGTCCACCATGCAATCAAAACAAGAGTACGGGCAATGTGGGTGCATGTGAGAGATACCCGACAGCCGCTGGCACTCTCCAGAATCCAGGAAGCGCACCTGGGAGACCAGGGGAAGAAGGAGGAGGACCCGGAAGACAGCCCCCCACCCCCACCCAACTTTAGCACAGCACCTGTGGCCCAGTCTGGGAGGCCTGACAGATGGGCAAGCCCATGCGCCTCTGGCTAATGGTGAGGATGTGACCACCTCTTTTTTCAAATCCTTGGAATCTAAGCAGTGGTGAAGGGCCAAGCTGGAGTTGGAGCCAGCCCAGGACAAGCAGGGAGGCCCGGAATGGAAGGTCCAGCCCAGCACTGGGTTTGGACACCTGTTACAGTTCTCTTGACATCAGGTGTCTCAGGTCAGAGCAGAGCAGGTAGTCAACCCTCGGCCTGGTCAGCCCCACCACTCTGGACACCTCGCAGGATCTAAGGCCTAGCCCGGAGCACCCTGGCAAGGAAAGGGACGTGATGGGGCAGGGGCCGGGCAACACGGCCGCCACGCAGACGCTCTGGCCTTGTCTCCCAGTGACCAAACGGGCGGATACCTTTGTAGTGGACGCGGAGGTTGCCCTGGGAGAGGCCAATGTAGCTGTACTTGTCCTTGGGGCTCCAGGAGCGCGGCAGCGGCGTCTCGTGCTGGTTGACAGCGGGGTAGAGGCGCTGCAAGCGCCGGCTCAGCTCTTGGTCCCCGGGGGACGGTAGCCCGCCCCCAGCGCCCCCGCCAGAGGAACCTCCAGCCTGTGGGCTCCCAGCTCCCGGGTCCGCCGTCGCTGCCGCCATCTTGGAGGGAGCTGCTATTGTGTCACTGGGGGCGGGGAGGAGAGGGACCAAGATCCGCCCCGCTCAGCCAATGGCCCGCGAGTCTCCCAGGGCCGCAGGGAAACCGAGTCCAGGTCCGACACCTCTCTTTGGACACTGCCACACCTCGCCACATTTTGAACTCCATATCCCACAATGCAGAGCTCCCCAGAAGCGGACCAACTCAGGATCGTAGGGAACTTTGGGAAATGTAGTACAAACCTGCCCAGCTATCAGTCTGAACAACCGAGACTTTGGGACACCGAGAACTACAATTCCCACCGGCAAAGCGGTTCTGGCCTCTCGGCTCGCCTCCCTCCCCCATGGCCTCTGTTTATCCTCTTGTCTCAGTTCTGGTAGCTAGGGTCAAATCCGTGTAGTGACCTACTCTCAGGGCACTCAGCTCCTAGGTCCGAGTCCACCTTTGATACTTGGCCTTGCTCCCAGCCCCCGGCACTGGGCTCGGGGGCGTGGCGCAACCTTGACCCCGCCCCCACCACGGGGTAGCTGGGGCACAGTCGCCATGGCGACGGGCTGTACACTACTACGGCTCTTCCGGCCGCTGGTGCTGGCTGCCAGCCTGCCCGGGGGTCATGGCCTCCCAGCAGCCGCGGTGCTCCAGCTTCTCGTCCACGTCGAGGTAGGCGCTGGCCGGGGTGAGGGAGGAGAGGAGGGCTTGAGTACTTCCAGAGATGGAGATGGCACCTGATCCTACCTCTGCCCCTCCTGCTGGCCTCTTGTCCATGGGCCTGGGGCTCCACTCCCAAAGAATCAGTGGGGCAGAAACAATTAGAATCTGGGCTGACTCAGCACACTGAGGACGTTCCGTGCTAGCAAAAAGACATGGGCTGGCCGGTTATCTCAGTTGATTAGAGCGTGGTGCTGATAACACCAAGGTCTAGGGTTCGATCCCTGTACCGGCCACCCGCCCTCCCCCCATCAAAAAAGATAGGCGCACTTTATCATCAGTAGTAACAGCCAGCTTGTATAGAACACATTATGTGCCAAGTGCTTTACATTCCACATTTAACCCTCACAACGACTCCATGAGGTAGTAACATCACCATTTTACAAATGAAATAGAAGCCTGGAGAGTTAATCTGCTTTACACATGTTTATAAGTGATGGAGTTAAGATTTTAACCCAGTATGTCAGACTCCCGAATTTGAGCTCTTAGCCACAGAGATAAACTGCCTCTTCACCCACTGTTTGAGTTTATGACAAAACTGCTTGTCAGGGGGAGAAAAGGTGCTTGTTGAATTGCTGGCTGACTGTAAGCAACCCAGGCACATCCCACAGCTTCAGGGTGGCTCCTGCCTTTATTTGGAAGTGCAGCCTGTGGGCACTGCAAAATATGACAAGCTTCATTGGCCAGGAAAACCACATATATGGATTAAAAAAATTTATTTGGCTAAATACCTTTCTAGCTTTGGGACCTCAGAAGAAGGCCCTTAAAGTTCCAGACTTTAATTTCTACATTTCAAACATGGGAATGATACAGCCCATCTCACATTGTTGGGAACATTTAGATAGATGCATGTGAAGCTCTTACCACAGCCCTTGTAAGTAATAGGCATTCAATAAGTGTTGAATGGGGCCGGCCCGTGGCTCACTCGGTAGAGTGCGGTGCTGATAACACCAAGGCCCCGGGTTCGGATCCTATATATGGATGGCCGGTTTAGCTCACTGGCTGAGCGTGGTGCAGACAACACCAAGCCAAGGGGTGAGATCCCCTTACCGGTCATCTTTAAAAAAAAAAAAAAAAAAAAAGTGTTGAATGATGTAGTTTTTCCCCCTTCTACTTATTCCCAATGCAAAGAAAACCTGATCTCACCTAAATTTTAATCCTTCAGAGTCTGCTGCCTCCAAAAGTCCCCTAGAACAGGAAATGCCAATTTGATTATTTTATCCAGAGCTAAAATAAGTCTGCAACAACCAGGCATCAGGCTTGAGAAATAGAGTTGTTACCCAGCACAAGAATAATTTAGGAAACTGAAGTGATCTGTGAAAGGGATATGAAACAGACTCAGAAAGAGAATCTCAATCCAGTTTAAGAAGACAGCACAATGTAACTGCTGAAGCTGAATTTGGTGGCAGTACAAAACATCATTCATTCACCATATTCTTCATGCACCAGTATTTAGTGATATACATTACACCAGGTTCACTGTTTCTGTTAGAGACACAGTGTGAATGTCCTCCTCTAGCTCCCCTTAGAACAGGGCCAGGATGATAGAGAGGACAGACCTTAGCACTGTAGAACATGTCAGCAGGACCCTCTACAAAGACCTTTGAATTATGCATTTCCTTGGGGTAGGTTTCTCCTCCCCTATGGGCTTTTCTCCTTTCACGCTCATATTCCTGGCACAATAGGTTGGTGGATGGAACTCAGCAGCTTGAATCCACTCAATAACAGGATACACCCCTGACAAACTACTGCCTGCTTTCAGTTAAATAATTTGAGTTTTCTCTACTTTTGAGGTAGAAATATAAATGTTACCCATTTCCTCTGAGGATTGGCAGAAAATATTTAATATAATGCTAAGGAAGCATCCTAAGCTTTTTGGGTAAGTGTAGAGGCTCTACCAGGTATCTCATTGTTTTGTTTTATTTTTTTTAAGTCTATTTTTTTGCTAGTGTCTCCTTTGACATTCAAAACTAAAACATCTGTTGCCTGCTGAACTTTTCCATTTGGCAACTACTCGGGATTTGTAGAGTTCCCCACAGTTTTCTTGCTTACCTTGCGTTTTGTGGTGGTTCCAGCATGAGAAAGAACAGAGTTTGGAAAATTGATTGTTCTTGATAGGAAGGTATTGATTTAATCCAGAGAGCAGATGGGGTTGAACTGCTGTATAATGTTGCTCTCTGAGACTGTCAAACCCACGCACGTCTGGGCAGACCCCCTTTCTTCTCCACACTGGCTGCTTATTCCACATGTTTTGCTCAAACTTGTTCAGTGTTGAGCGACAATAGAGGACTAGGATTTGATGTGTTACTGCTTTGTGGAGTAGGACTGAGGAACCCTACAGGCAGGTTTTCCCGGCTGGGTTTATGTTAGTGCTCTCAACTTCCCTGGAATTTGGGTGTTCCTAGTTCCATTTTTATGGACAAAGACACTGAGGTTCAGAGAGGTTAAGTAGAGCCCAAGGTCACCAGCTAGCAAGGGGAATGATCAGACAAGTCTATCTGACAGCATAAACCACACACCCTCACCCATGGATTGCTTCCTCCTTTTGTTCCACCTGGGCTTGCCTGCCCACACGTAGCCCTCCCTGTTGACCCCCAAATACTTTCCTAGCTTGAGCAAGAATGGCTCTCCCAAGAGGCTTGGGCGTTAGAGACCTCCTTAGAATCCACTTTTCTCGGGGCCGGCCTGTGGCTCACTCGGGAGAGTGTGGTGTTGATAACACCAAGGCCACAGGTTCGGATCCCATATAGGGATGGCTGATTAGCTCACTGGGTGAGCGTGGTGCTGACAACGCCAAGTCAAGGGTTAAGATCCCCTTACTGGTCATCTTTTTTTTTATTTTGTCCTTTTTTTTTAGACCGGCCACACCGCGCTCAGCCAGTGAGCGCTGTGAGCACACTGGCCATCCCTATATAGGATCCGAACCCGCAGCGGGAGCGCTGCTGCGCCCCCAGCGCCACACTCTCCCGAGTGCGCCACAGGCTCGGCCCAACCGGTCATCTTTAAAAAATAAAAAATAAAAATCCACCCAACCTGTTATCGTAATTAACATCTGTGCAGCTCCTTATAGTTTTTTTTTTTGTTTTTTAATTAAGGATCCAAACCCGTGGCCTTGGTGTTATCAGTACCACACTCTCCAGAGTGAGCCACGGGCTGGCCCGCTCCTTACAGTTTAAACGTTATTTTGCTATTTTGCGTATCTCTTTCACCCTTTTATAAACATCACAACAATTCTATGAGATAGGCAAAACAAGAATTGTCTCCATTTCTTTATAAGGAAACTAGGCTGAATCGCCCAAGGGAGATCCTGTTGGAATCCCAGATGTCCACCCCTGGATGTAAGCCTCCACTTACAGCCAGACTCACACCCCAGTTCCTGGACTGGACCCCAGACCCTGTGCTTCTTGTCCTACAGCACCTGCCTTTGGTATCACACTCTCAGAGTGTGCCAGAGTTATGCACATGAAACCATCATCCATTATCACAGCCATACCTAATACCGTGAATGAAAGTGTAGGCCCGCAGGGTTTTCTGGGTTCATGGTGAGTGTGTCCTGCTGCTGCAGGAGCTGGTGAGACTCTGGCAGTGAGAAGGAGGTTTCTGGGACTGTAGGAAAATGGTTTGGTCCCAGGGCCAGGGTATTGCTTGGAAGCATTTCTGAGAATCCGGAGGCAATGCTGGGAAGACCCGGAGTCTGGCTCTGGGGGGAAAGAAGGCCATGCCTTGTGGATCTTGGATGGGGGGGGTTCTCCCCAGTCTGGGCACTGTTACCCACCACCAGCTTCCCCTTCTCTGTGTAGAACACACCCACGGCTTTCAGTGACCATGGATGACTCCTTTCTCTCAGAAGCCAAGAGCAACCAGAAACGCAAGCTCTCTCAGAAGCAGAAGACGCTGGTTAGTGACAATGTCCTTTTGGAGCCCCAAATGTCAGCCCCTGGACCCTATCTGTCTCCTTCTCTGCAACCTAAAAGCACCACCCACCTGAAACATGCCCACCAGAGTGGCTTCTTCCCAGTCAGGGAAGCATGCTCACAGATGCCAGACCCGCCAGGCTTTGGGGAGGAAATTTGTGCATGCTGGCTGCTTCTCATCTGAAAAGCCTTCCCAGACCTCCCTAGGTTAATATCAGCCTCTGCCCAGGGACACCCTGTCCCTGCAGCTCATCATTCTGGAGTGGACCTCATTCCTTCATCCAGCCTGCCATGGTCCAGGCACTGTGCTAGGTGCTGGGATGGGCACACCAGATCTGCCAAGGTCCTTTAGGGCTGTGACTGTTTCTTTTTGTCTTTATGGCCCTAGGGTCTGAGAGGGTGCTTGAGTGGTTGACACAAGCTGAGAGCTCCATAAATGCTTATGAGTGAAGGCAGGAGTGAAGGGATGTTTCTCCATTGTGTTGTCAGCTCTGGGTTCCTCCCCCATTCCTGTTCTTTAAAGTTTTTTTTATAAAAATGAATGTTGTCTTGTTAAATACTCTTGGACTTTTATTAATATGATCATAGGATTGTTATTATTTAATCAGCAAACAGCCATTTTCCAAATGTCACAGAGAAACACATTTGAACAAACTTATATTTCCAGCTCGCAGTGGAGAACTGTGGACTGTGTGGTGGTTTTCCTTGCGTGAGTGTGTCCCTTGTGGAAGATTTGGGAATACATGGGCCACACACTGTGAGGCTGGGGATTCCCAACACGGGGACCTGACTCCAGGGAAGGGAAGGGGGACAGTACGGACTCTTCGCGGAGGCCAGCGCAGCCCCCAAAACCCGAAGACTTCGGAGGAGCTCTGACCCCTTCCCCTCCCCCCTCAGCTGCCACCTACTGCGTGGACCTGGGGCCAGGTTCTTTGTCTCCTTCTCCTCCGCAGCAACGGAGATGCCGGTCTCAACCGCCAGGGGTCGTTATTCTCTCCCGCCGTCCCTCGGGGCCGCCTTCCCATTTTCACCGGCAGGGGGAAGCGGAGAGCCCGGAGCGCCCGGGAACACAGTGTTCCAGCCACCCGCCGGTGGAGGCCTTCCCCACCTGTTAATACCCGGCCCAGACGTGGTCCCGGCTGCTGGTTCTCCAGTTTCCACTCGCCTCGGACGTCCGAGTAGGGTGACCATGTTTTCTCCCGGCAGAAACAGCAGACAGAACATGAGGGCTGGACTTCTGAAAGTCTGAAACACTTGTTAACTTACCAGGGTTAGGTACTGCTGTGACAACTTCCCAAGTTGTCTACCAAGGTTATTTTGCTCCTTTATAAAAATCACATCAATTTTGATAGTCTTTCAAAAAAAAGTGTTCTAGCTAGATTTTATTTTATTTTATTATTTTTTGGTGGCCGACCAGTACTGGAATCTGAACCCTTGACCCTGGTGATACAACAACCCATGCTAACCAGCTGAGCTAGCCAGCCAGCCCCTGATTTTTGTTTGACTTTTCCCATTTTTCCTGAATGTCTATTTATACATTTGTTTCCTGATTCTTTTTTTAATTGATAGTTCTTTTCCTTTTCAAGCAACGACCAGAGGTATCCTTCCTTAAGGCTTTCTTTCCTAATAATGAAAGTATTTTAAGCAATTAAAATAAATGCCTTGGCTGGTTGGTTAGCTCAGTTGGTTAGAGAGCAGCCTTATAACACCAAGGTCACCAATTAGGATCCCTGTACCAACCAGCTGCAAAAAATAGAAAAATAAAATAAATGGTTTGTGAGTGCTGCTCGAACTATGTTCCAAACATTTTGAACAAGTTATTTTAACATTCTTTTCTATAACATGTTATAATTTAAGTAATAAGTAGATCAGGGAGAAATATGAACTTATTTTTAAGTTTCTAAATGGTTATGTATTTTAGAGGTATATTTATATCGTCAGTTTCTATTTTCATTATGTAATACCACCAAATGCAAGGTATATAGTTTCTGGTTTAAAAATGTGTTAAGACCTTATCTGTGTCCTGTCAATATGATTATTTTTTGTTTATGTTAAAAGGTAGTTCTTTATTTCCATTTAATGCATGTTATAATTCTGTTCATCTGTCATTATCAATTATATTACCCCTGGCATTAGCGTCTTTCACCTTTCTCTGCTTGATGTAGCTTATCCTTATAGGAGGGCTTTAAACTCTTTACTACAATTCTGTTTCATCTTTTTCCCCTATGTTTTCATTTATTCAACAAATATTTGTTGACACCTACTATATGGCAGGCACTGGAGATGCAGTGATAAACAAGACAGACACGGTCTCTGTTGATGAGAGAAGATGGGGATATTATGATTGGAAAGTTCAGGGGGGACTGGCCTGGGAAGGGTGTCAGGGAGGACCCCTGAGATCTCAAGGGTGAGTAGTCAGGATAGGGCATGTGCAAACACATATACCCAATGAGAACTGCTTTAGTTTTTTTTTTTTTTTTTCCTTTTTGTCTTTTTTCGTGACCGGTAGCGGGATCGCAACCCTCGGCGTCGCGCCCGCACCGCGACCAGCAATGGGATCACAACCCTCGGTGTCACGCCCGCACTGTGCTCAGCCAGTGAGCTGACCGGTCTCTATATGGGATCCGAACCCTCGGTGGGAGTGCCGCCACGCTCCCAAGTGCCGCACTCTACCGAGTGTGCCACCGGGCCGGCCCCAGAACTGCTTTAGTTTTTAGTATGACTTTCACCCATGCTAAATTATTGTGCTTCCTCATATATTTATTCTATAATATTTACTGAGTGCTACTTAAGACTGTGAAGAGTGTACAGTATAATGCCATCGCTTCTGGAGATGCAGAGATAGGTCAACCCAGCATCTCCTCAAGAGACTGGAGTCCTCCCTGGGACCTAGCAACAAAGCTAACTTATGTACTTTCCATAAATATTTCAGGAACAAACGAATGATCCCAAGATTGAGACAAAACATGTACAGAACTAACTAAATGCAGTAGAAAGGGCCATGCAAAGAGAGTCCAAGGAGACAGTGGAGTTTTCCACACTGGGAGCATCAGGAACCAATTACCATTAGCCTGGAATGTATCCTAGAACCTGGATATATGGGGCATGGGAGGGAGGCCTGGCCTCTCCATCCCAGAAGAAACTGGAGGCTGGGCTCAGGGCCACAGATGGGGCTTTTCAAGTAATGCAAGATTCTTTAAAATTTGAAGGTGATTTATGCTCATTGCAGAAAATTTTGAAAAATGCACAATTATACAAAAATAATCACCCATGATCCTATCACTAGAGAATAATAATTGCTGATAGCCTTTTGGATTATTTCCTCCATCTTTACTGGTCTTCCATTTTATTTTATGTGCTTATTCCCTAATTTCAGGCTTTACTTAACCCTTAGAACTATATCATTAGTATATTTCCACTTTAAGCCTCTTTGTAAATATCTCATGGCTATGTCACAATCTTCTGTTATTAGACACCTAGGAGTTTTCTAATTTTCCCACAGTCATAAGTAAGGCTTTGAGGACTGCCCTCATGTGTGAAGCTGCTAGTCCATCTGTCTCCCTTTGCATTAGCTACCAGACTCCTTGCCCCAGACCTTGGCCTCAGCCTCAGTTGGCCTGTTCTCCTTGGGCATTGGCCTCTGTTCATAGCTCCTTAAAACTGCTGTTCCTGAGGTGTTGGTAGTCTTTGCATGCCCCCCCCCCCCCCCCCCCCCCACCCAGAGTGACTTCAGCTCCTCCCATGCACTCATTTGAGCTTTACTGAACATCACTGACATTATTACCTCCTCCTCTGAGATGACAAACCTTCCTGGGTCCCCTCCTGTCAGGGCCCCCCTATCCTCCAGTAATGTGCATTGGCTTGTCACTACATGTTAACTTATAATTATCAATTCATTTGTCACCCCACACTCATCCTACCCTCAGCTTCCCTCATGACCCTAGAATCCAGCAGGGACTGGGATGGACTATGGACCCAGAAATGTTTGATGAACAAATGAGAGACCAAATGGATGAAACCCTAGAAGTAGGCTGCACTGGATCAGAGGGTCATATTTTTTCTTCATACTATGAGTATGTGAAAGGTTAAAAAAACAAGTCCATACATACTACTTCCTACCACATACACTTACCCCTGCTCAAGATTCAAAATGAGACCCCATTGCCAGGGAATCCTCACCTATCTCTCTCTCTCCTGGGGGTTACAGCCCACTCTCTTCCCAGGGTCCACAGCTCACAGGCTGCATCTCTATAGTTATAGTTCCAGCTGTTCATCAGTACCAGCTTGAGGCTGGGCCTGCCCTCCTTTATCTTTGTCTCTTTAGCTGGATTGTGCTGTGGGTGCAAGGGCTGGGTCCTTCCTGGTGCTCACATCTGTTTTCAATATTCAATATTCACTGACATACCCACAGAAGAGAAAAGCTCACCTTTACTGAGTTCCTAGCAAATCACACACTATGCTTTCTTATTGCATCCTCACATCAATAGTGTGATGGAGACTACCATCATCCCCATTTTACAGATGTGGAGACTGAAGCTCAGAGAAGTTAAGCCTGTGGTCACACAGCTAATAAGGGAGATCTAGGATTTAACCCAAGCTCTCTCTAACTCAGGAACTCACAGTCTTAATTATGAACCATATTAAGAGATGTTTGTTGAAAACATCAGGAATGAGGGCTGGCCAGTTAGCTGACTTAGGAAAGCATGGTGCTCATAACGCCAAGGTCAAGGGTTCAGACCCCTGTACTGGTCAGCTGCCAATAAACCAAAAAAAAAAAAAAAAAAAAAACCCGACAGAACATCAGGAGTGGGGAAGGAGGAATAGAAAAGAACATTAGGAAGGGGAGCAATGTTGCATGGTAACCCCACCTGTCTCTCCCTGCAGCTCTTTCAGTTCCCCATGGGCAGCCACCTATCCCCATGGCCCACATATACCAGTGGCCAGACCATTCTGCAAAATCGAAAGCCTTGTTCATGTGACTACCGGAACCGAACAAGGTAAGCCAGGGTCCACCTGATCGTGGGTGGGCTGGTGTAGATTGGGCATTGGGCTGGGAGACAGGGCAGGGGTATGTGCTGCCCCTGAGTGAGGGTGCAAGGGCCCCGTAGCATGCTCATCACATCTCAACCCACCATCCTCTGCAGTAGCTGGCAGCAGCAGTCCTTCAGCACCACCAAGCCCAGGTACCTGGAGCAGCTAGAGAATTATTTACGCAAGGAGCTTCTTCTGCTGGACATGGGCACGGATTCTACCCAGGAGCTGAGGCTGCAGGTCAGAGACAGAATAAGTGTGGGAAGAAACCTCACCTACCAGGACTGAGCACTTCAGACCTTCAGAAGAGACTGGCCTCTCCCAACTCTTCTGGGTCTCCATCCCTGAAGAGAAGCATGTCAAAAGCCAGTGACAGAGCCAGTGAGCAGCAGGCAAGGCTGAAGTGTGGAGCCAAAACTCTCCTGAGGCTTGAGTTTCCTCACCTGAGTCAGGTGGACTGGATGCTTTGTCCAGTCCCTTCAGCTTTGGGATCCTCAGTGCCCAGTTTGGGTCCTTGGACACCAGTGAATGGAGCCTCAGTCCTGGCAGTTGGGTGAGCAGGGGTCATACAGTGTCCACCAGCCCAGTGGCAACAGCCCCAGGTTTGATGAACTAGCCCAGATGCATAGAGAGAGAGAACTAGATGCAACTCAGATTCTGATACATATCAGGAAGAGAATCACCAAATCTTTGCTCCAATAGGGATGATGACAGGGAATCCCTGACTTCTGACTTATTCACTGACTGAAGCATTTACTAAGTGCTGGCTGCATGCCAGGCCCTGGGCTGGGGCCTTACACACACTCTCACAAGCAAAAGGTACCTCACCTACAATGAAGCAGAAGCTCAGAGAGTGAGGCTGGGATTCAAACTTGGGGCTGATTCCAGAGCCTGTACTCCTTCCAGTAAGCAATGCTGCCTCCAAAAATCTCCTGTATGTCCAAGTGGGACAGGAGACCACAGCCGCACTTGGAGTCAGAAAGCAAGGCTAGAATCTTCAGTCTCCTCCTGCTCTAACAGATGGGGAAGGGATGCAGGTGAGAGGCCAACTGAGGCAGAGTCTGGAAGGCAAGAGGCTGCCTGCCTGAAGAGCCAGAGAGGGGGCTCAGGCATGGAGTGGGAAGTCTGGCTCACTGTGGTCCAGCAGGCCTCAGAGACAGTACCACAAGAGGCCTTCAGAGAATTGTCCCCCAGCCCTGTGGCACTGTAAGAGACCCAAGTGGTACACTGGGCATTTACTTGAATATGGGCCACCTGGCAGCCTCATGCTGGAATACTTTTAAGCTCAGTAAAGAAAAACATAGGACTCCACTGAGGTGGCAGCTATAGGTCAGGAGGTGACAGGTCCCCTTTTCTTGCTAGCCTTACAGAGAGATCTTTGAGTTCTTCATAGAGGACTTCAAAACATACAAGCCATTGCTATCCTCCATCAAGAATGCATATGAGGTGATGCTCGGTAAGAATGCAGCTCCTTTCCTGGGCCCAGCCTAGAAGGAGCACAGAAGATCCTATTCTGACCTTTTGGAGCTCCACAGCAGGGCTGGGGCAGCTACTAACTGGGCCTTGAGGTCACCAATCCCTGCTCGAACTTTTTTGTGTACACTGTTCTGTGATAGGGCACCTGACCACCTCCCATCCTGGAGAAGCTTGGAGGGGCAATATCTATAGGAAAAAGAGTGAACCCGAGGGGAGAGCAAGTATCTCTGGGAAGTGAGGAGGCTCCCCCCACCAGGTTCAGGAGGTGCAGATCATGATGCAGGTGCAGGACTAAAGGCTGTAGGGGAAAGGCCATACGAAAGACCCTGGTCCTCATCTCAACTCTGCCCCTGGCTTAAAAGCAAACACAGGAAGGCCTGAAGCAGGGGCCATGACTTTGAATGAGGCATGCATAGATTTCTGGAGTTTGCAAATGACGTAGCTACTCACCCATGACATTAGGATCTGTGTCTCCGGATGTTTGTTCTCCATGGCCCCAAAGGGACTCTCCCACCCATCCCTGCTTAGCCCACCAAAGGGAGAAGATTCGGGCTCTGGAGCCCCTGAAGGCCAAGCTTATCACTGTGAATGAGGACTGCAACGAGAGGATCCTGGCCATGAGGGCTGAGGAGAGATACGAAATCTCCATGCTCAAGAAAGAGAAGATGAATTTGCTAAAACTCATTGACAAAAAGAATGAGGAGAAGATCTCATTGCAGAGTGAGGTGAATAGAAGTGGTGTGGTGACCAAGCCCCTGAATTCCTGCCCTGCCTGCCACAGGGGTGACCTTAAGGCCTTGGAGCCACCACCTCCCCCAGACTCCCTGTTACCTCCATCCTCGACCTGCCTGCTTGGCTCAGCACAGACTTTCTCCACAGGAGGTGGCACGGGCACCTTGCTGGAGTCTCAGGAATGGCCAGTCTCCTTCTTCTAAGCCCTAATGGGCCACCAGCACCCAGCCCATCCCCTGTGGTGACTAGCTACACACAGGGGTCCAGAGGCAGACCCTGACCACATAGCCACCTTCCCAACAGGTAACCAAACTGAGGAAGAACTTGGCTCAAGAGTACCTGCACTACCTCAGTGAGCGAGATGCCCGTAAGATCCTCATTGCAGACCTGAATGAGCTACGGTACCAGCGGGAGGACATGTCACTAGCCCAGTCCCCAGGTAAGCCTGAGTTGGGTTTCTCTCCTACTTTGAGGTACTGGAGAGGAGTCTGGCACTCGCCTCTCACCCCCATTCATTCAGTATTTCATGCCCATTCATGATGGGAGATGTCCCTGCCACCACGTGGGGCTTTGAATCTTCTGAGCTTAAAAGTCATAGGATCATTGTTTGAGATTGAAAGTCGTAGGATCAGGGCCAGCCCATGGCTCACTTGGGAGAGTGTGGTGTTGATAACATCAAGGCCACGGGTTCGGATTCCTATATAGGGATGGACGGTTAGCTCACTTGGGAGAGCGTGATGATGACAACACCAAGTCAAGGGTTAAGATCCCTTTACTGGTCATCTTTTAGGAAAAATAAAAAAGTCGTAGGATCTTTGTTTAAGTAGGAACATTGTTGGCAGCTGAGGCAGCCTAGACTTCCTGTGGGCTGGACAGGCCTAGTACCCCATGTCCTGGGCTTCTCTACTTAAGCCTGAAACACTAGGCTGGTGGCACTGTGGCCAAGATCCAGGGAATCACAAGCAGGGAGGGCAGAAGGACCTTAAGCATCCCCCAAGGGGTACACTAACCCAGCCCTGGGTTACAAGCCCCAGAGCCAGGGTGACATGGGCTGGTGGTTCTCCTGGCAGGCATCTGGGGGGAGGACCCCGTGAAGTTAACACTGGCTCTGAAGATGACCCGGCAAGACCTGACCCGTACACAGATGGAACTCAACACCATGAAGGCCAACTTTGGAGATGTGGTACCCAGGAGGGACTTTGAAATGCAGGAGAAGACCAATAAGGACCTTCAGGAGCAGGTGCTTGATGGGCAGGCAGGGCCAAGCAGGGCCAGGCAGGGTCATGCCGGTGGGTAGGTAGGACCAATCACCTTGCCCACAGTTGGACAGCCTGAAAGCTGACTATGAAGAGGTCCGCAAGGAGCATGAGATTCTGCTGCAGTTGCACATGAACACACTGAAGGAACGGGACCAGTTCTTTTCTGAGCTGCAGGAGATTCAGCGCACCTCCACACCTCGGCCTGACTGGACCAAGTGTGAAGGTAATAATGGCCACTGCGGCCCCAGGACCTGCTGAAGTGCATGATCTGGACTCCAGTTCCCTCTCCCCACCAGATGTGGTGGCCGGGGGCCCAGAGCGCTGGCAAATGCTGGCCAAGGGCAAGAACAGTGACGAGCTGGTGGATGTGCTTCTGGAGGAGATTGGCGAGGGGCTGCTCCGGGAGAAAGACTTCTTCCCTGGTCTGGTAGGGAGTCCCTGGGAGGGAGGTTTGGGCCAGAGTCAGAACACCAACATCTTAGGCCGGCCCGTGGCTCACTTGGTAGAGCGCGGTGCTGATAACACCAAGGCCACGGGTTCGGATCCTATATAGGGATGGCCGGTTTGCTCACTGGCTGAGCGTGGTGCTGACAACACCAAGCCAAGGGTTGAGATCCCCTTACCGGTCATCTTTATGAAAAAAAAAAAAAAAAGAACACCAACATCTTGCTGCTGAGGAGACTTGAGATTCTGGAGGAACCATCTGGGGCTGTTCCTTGCTTACAGGTAGGGCAATAGATGGGCCCAGAGATAAGCTGACAACCCTCCATTCTAGGGCTATGGCGAAGCCATCCCCCCTTTCCTTCGGTATGATGGCCTTGTGGAGAACAAGAAGCCAACCAAGAAGGATGTGGTAAACCTCCTCAAGGATGCCTGGAAGGAACGTCTTGCGGAGGAGCAGGTCAGATCTCACTAGCCACATTGGCCCAGTGTGGCCTTCAGATCGAGTTCTCCAGGTGGCCCCCCTCAAAATGCTATCAGGGAGGTGGGCCAACTGACCCTAGGGCAGGCTGACCATGCATTCTCCCCAACCTGCAGAAGGAGAAGTTCCCAGATTTCTTCTTTAATTTCCTGGAGCGTCGCTTTGGGCCCAGTGATGCAATAGCCTGGGCTTACACCATTTTTGAAAATATCAAGCTCTTCCGTTCCAATGAGGTCATGAGTCAGTTTTATGCAGTCTTGATGGGAAAGGTGAGCTTGGGCCCTTGGGAAAAGAGAAGGGTCTTTCTCTCCAGTGTAGCCCAGCTCTGTTGCCACCACTCCACAAAGCAGCAAGTTAGTGAATGCTTCCCTCTCTTAGAGGAAGGAGAGTGTGTATGTCAACCAGACGGAGACAGTAGCCCAGCTGCTGAAGGAGATGACAAATGCTGACAGTCAGAACGAGGGGCTACTAAACATGGAGCAGTTCAGGTGAGAGGCCAGTCCAGGCCACCCCAAACTCCTGAGGGTCTGCAGGGAAAAAGGGAACCTGGTGGGAATAGCCACAAACTCAACACTCACTAGCCTTTTAAACACTAGTGGGGATGGCTGGGCAGGCCTCAGCCAGGCCTGTTGGTCCTCATGTCTCCCTGCAGCACTATCCTCAGGAGTACCTTCCCTCTGAAGAAAGAGGAGCAAATTCAGGAGTTGATGGAGGCAGGTGGCTGGCATCCTGACAGCAGCAATGCAGACTTGCTCAACTACCGTTCGTTGTTTACGGAGGTAGGTGATGGGTCTGGGAACTCACCCAGCCCCTGCCCTAGCCTTGGCTGGACCCTAGCCAATGTGCCTTCACCCTGCCCTGTGGCCCCTCCTAGGACAAGGAGGGCCAGAGTGAGCCCTTTGTGCAAAAGCTGTGGGAACAGTACATGAGTGAGAAGGATGAGTACTTACAGGAGATAAAGCAGGAGCTGGGCCTGGAACTGTGAGTGACCCTGGGGCCCTCTGATGCATTCATCCGTAGGTGAGTCCCACAGGCTGGGCCAAAAGGTGGCACCTCAAGCCCCTGCATCTTCCTGTGCACTAAGCAAGCTACTGGGCAATATATACTGTTCAAGCCTGACAGAAAGGAGGGCACCTTGGAATCTGGGGTTAAGGCCTGTCTCTCTTTTCTTTTGGGACAGCCGTGATGAAGTGACCCTACCCAAGTTGCGTGGGGCCCTGATGAACATCGATCCGAGCATGGACAAGCAGACTCTGAGCACCTATATGAGCCAGGCCTTCCAGCTCCCCATGTCAGAACTGCCAGAGGAGGGTGATGAGAAGGAACAGGGCATTCTGACATGGCTCTGCACTGCATTGGAACGGCTTCAGGTGGCTGACATCAGGCGCATGGGGCCTCGAGAGCCAGAACCTGCAAGCTAGGACCACCATGGACAGCCTAAGTGCTCCAGTGTTGCTAACCCTGATTTTAGTATAAAATTGTTTGTCTGAACCCATGCCCTTCTCCAGGCTGTGCTGGGGAGTTGGGGGAGGGGGCCCCAGGACATGCACCAAAATGCAGAATATTCTGTTTATGACACTTTATTTATGCTGGGGGAAGGGAGGAGTCCTGGAGGAAGATGTGGGACAAAGGGTTCCCTAGTGGGGACAAGGCAAGTGTTGAGAGGCCTGGCCACTACTGGGCAGGGAAGACGGAGTTTCCACTGAATGCACAAGGGATGAGCAGCTGCCGGTACTCCAGGGGAAGATGCCGCTCCACAAGTACATGAAGTGAGACTTGGTCGGTGATCAGGCCCTGCCTTCAGGAGAGGAAGAGAAGGGACAGAGGGAATCAGCACCAGCACTCCCACACCCAACACCTCCCTTCCCCCACTCACCGTCGCATCAGCAGCTCCAGGTCTTCCGGTTTCACAGTCTTGCGGCCAGCATGAGCAGCAAATACCTCCAGATCATCGCAAAGATGCTGGAAATACTTATCTAGGCTGCCAAGAAGGTTGGGATAGAGCAGACTGAACAGTCTGTTCATGACCTGAGGGGCTCCTCTCCCACCCCCAGGTGTCTAGAACTCACCATTTCTCCACCATCTCAAGAGCCCTTTTCTCCACGGGCATCTTAGCATAGAAGCTAAAGAGTTTCACATAGTGGCTCAGTCCACTCCTGTAGGGATCTTGACGGGGTCTGGTGCTAGTGGTTCGGGGCCTAGGGGGAAGCCTGGCCAACAGAGGCTCCATAGGCTCTGAAGATAAGCTGGAGGCAGGAGTGGACAGAGGTAGCTGAACTACTGCTTGAAGAGGCCTCTATTCAAGGAGAAGTCTTGCTGACTCCTGCTGAGACTGGGGACCGTGTGCTCTCTGGCCAGCGTGGACCAGAAGCTCCAACTATCTATTGAGGGGCAGTGGGGTCAGGGGCCACCATTTCCATGGGGCCCTGCTCCTCCACAGTCTGGACCCAATGTCTTAGCCTAGCCTCATACACATTGGTACTTGCTCAGGCCCATGACCCTGAGGCCTCAGAATAGACATTCTCTCCCCTTAGTCCTTAGCTGCCTGTCCTGATTCTGCTAATCCTCCTCCAGGAAGCCTTCTTTGACTATATACTGACCTAGGCACTTCCCCCTCACCCAAGCTCCTCCAAGCCCCTGGAGGCAAGCACCAGGATGACAGATGTGCTCTCCATGAGCCCTCCCCAGCCCAACTCAGGGTGCTTTGCTAGGTAATCATCTGCATACCCGTGGGAAGAGGGATGACCCTGTGTGCACAGGGTACCCAATGCCAACCTCAGTGCCTGCCCCCTTCCCAAGAGGCTCATGAGGAACACGGTCATGGGATCTTACACTGCAGCACCAGGTGGTGGGGCTGGCTCAAGAAACTGTCCAAGTTGCTTGGCCTGGAGAAACTTCGGGGTCCTGGAGACCAACTCGTGACTTACTGCAGAGGAAGGGCAAAGTCATAGGGGGCTCAGACCTAACCATGTCACCCAACCCTGCAGGTCCATGGTCTCCTTGCTCTGTTTCTCAAGGGCCCACCTAGCTCCAGCCAAGCAAGTGCCCCTCAGAGTCTCCCTGACCCCTTAATACCACCAGTGCCCAGAAACACAACCCAAGCAAGCCCCTTCTGTGTGCCAGAGCCTGAACACAGCTGTCACCACTCACCCCCTGATCCCTGCACTGAGCCTCTTACCTATACTGCCAGAGGTGTCGTCATGCCCTGAAGATCCTTCTAGCTCCTCAGCCTCAACAGCCCCCTGGGATCTCTCTGCTTCTGTCACCTTGGTGTGTCCCTTAGGCTTTTCTGCCCCGGCAGGTCCTTGTGCTCCTGTTGCCTCCTTCACTTCACTCATGTTCAAACCTTCTTCCATCCTTTTCACTGCCTTCTTACCAAATCCATCCTGTAAGGGCTCTACTCCATCTTCTGCAGAGATATTACTGCTGGTGTTCAGGAAGCCCAGAGCCAGGGCATCAACCTCCTCTTCCTTTCCTGACAGAAACTGGGCTGGTTTCCTAGGGCCTGAACGAAGGGGAGAAAGTACAGGCTGGGGAAACAGCAGGCCAAGCCTGTAGCTCTGAGAAGGGTGAAGATGGAGTTGTGAACCCAGCTCTACCCACTGAGGAGAGACAAAGCCAAGAGTAGCACCAGGGCACAGATTTGGAGTCTTCTGGCCTAACACTGACTCTGCTCTTGGGTGGAGGAGAGACCCACAGCCAGGTGGCTCTGGGGACATACAGATGGGTCTGAGGAGGGAAAACTACCGGCGCCAACTGTCACCCAGGCTGAGCCTGGCTCCTGGCCACCCATCCCACATACTCACTGTTGCTCTGCATCTCTGAGTTGCTCTGCCCACTGCTCTGTGTCCTGCGACTGATGGTCCTTTCAACATCTTCAGCCCCAGTGCGAGAGGAGTGGTGTAGGGAGCAAGAAACACTGGGGGAGCAGCTAACCAAGGGCTGGGAGAAGGGCTGAGTGTCCTCCAACATGACGTCCCTTGGCAGAGTAGTAACAGGGGTTCTGAGGCTATCACCTGGAGATCAAGCACCAGCTGGCACTCAGTGTATTCCAGGCCCACCTGCTGTTACCCAGAGTTACTACAGCCTGGGCAGTGGGCCCCATGGGTCTGCCCCAAGTGGCCTTCAGAGATAGAAGACAATCTAGCACTCTAAGCCTTATTTCTCTTCCATAACTCTCCTTGCTTACATTCCTGCTCCTTAGCTGGCATTTCCAGGTGCCATGGGTTAAATGTGTCCCCCCAAAATTCATGTATTGGAAATTTAATCTCCACTGTAACATTGTTAAGAAGAAGGAAAATCCTATTATGGTCATTGAAAGGTGGGGCCTGTAAGAAGTGATTAGATTGTGAAGACTGTACCCTAATGAATGGACTAATCCATTAATGGTTTAATGAATGGTCACTGTTGTACTTATGAGGGCTTTATAAAGACAGAGAGTGAGAAGCTTAGCTCACTCTTGCTCAGCCCTTTCTTGCCATGTGATACCCTGAGTTGCTGTGGAGAGTCACCACCAAGAACAAGGCCTTCACCAGATGTACCCTGGACTGTGGATTTACCAGCCTCTAAAACTGTGACAAATAAATTTCATTTTTTAATACATTACCCAGTTTCAGGTATTCTGTTATAAGCAACAGACAAAGACTAATACACCATGCCTCCACAGCTGTCCCCCTTATGCCCTAACTCCTCACCCATGTCTCTACTCTCCACTTCTCACTCTACTCCCTCTGCCCAGAACCCTCCTCTTATTCTGGTGAACTTGACTTATCTTCTGTAGTCAGGCTCTCAGGTCAGCTCTGATTGGCCAGCTGATCCTGAAACCTGGCCCTTTCCAACCTTCCAACAAGCTTCAGCCACCATGCCACACCCTTTTCTACCTTCAGCCCTACAGCTCTTCAAAAATAGGGGGCCCTAGGAGACACTAAGGGACTAAGACTAGGCCCCACCAAGGCAAGGGGCACCTTGTGGTAAGAAAGTAGAAACTCGTCGTAGACCTACTGGCCTGGCTCACTCACTGTCCTTGACTGCACTGAGAGGGGAACAACCCTGGACTCAGCAGCACTTTCTATCTATCGCAGGGAGAGACTTTTCCCCAAATGCCAGAAGGGAGAAACCTTAACCTTACCTGGAGGAGCTGAAGCCAAAGAAGTACCTCGAACATCCCGCAAAAAGGCACTCACATTTACAGCTCGGCGGGTGGGAGGTCTGCGGGCCAAACCAGGCCTCCGCACTGACTGTGGCTGAAGAGGTGTGGCAAAGGTCAGGTTGAGGGAGCTGGTAGGAAGGAGGAGGCAAAGGAAAGTCAGGTACCTGAGATCCAGTTTTTCCAGATGATTTCCCCGTCTACCCCAGGACTCTCATCTCTTAGAAAGCAGCAATCAAGCTGTGAGGCTAAAACTGGCAGGAAGTAGTACTGCCAGATTCCATCTCAGTCAGCACCTCCCTCCCCAAGCCTCTCCTCTACCAACCCCCAGAATAGGCAACAGCACCTGGTGAGGGACGAGGCATTAGCACTCCCATGAGGCTCTGTCAGTGACCGGCAAAAGGATGTAAAAAGAAGAAACGACGGTAAGTTACCCAAGCCCATGAGAGCCCTCTCTCGAGCCTCCTCAGCCTATCCAGAGGACAGGAGGGAGATGGTAGTGAAAGGTGGTATCCAGGGCCTCACCTTGGGAGAGAGGCAGCCCCTGGTCTATGCCCTGCTGAAACATCGACAGTCTCAGCCTCTGCTTCCTCCTGCCAGTGATCAGCAGACCTGGAGCCAGGGTTGTGGGGGGTTCGAGCTCAGGAAGTTGCAGCTCCAGGCTACAAGAATGGAGCTTATTTCAGACAGGCCAGAAAGCCCAATTCTGGCTTTGGGGGCCCCCAAAAGGCTCCCTGACCAGAGCTGCCCAATAACCCACTCCAAGGGGAGAGTTCACTGTGTACCTGCCCCGACTGCTTTCCTGTCTGGAGGGCTGGACCCCCTGCAGTGCTGGCACTGGCTTCACTACTGACTCTGGCATTAGGATGGAAGATTCTGGTGCTGCAGAAAGACCAAAGAGAGGGTGCGGCTGACAGGACAGGCTGCCCGGAATGAGGGATACCACAGGACTGGTGTTGGACTGGTACCTAACTCTGACCAACAGGCCAGCACTCACCAGTTAGTAGGATGTTCTTCAGCAGAGTCCGAGGTGTCTGTCCCTCCAGGTGCCCACTGGCTTGAACACGGGACAATCTGCCAACAGACTAACGGCAAAAGCACCAAGCAACCAGTCTATTCATTTGCCTTGAAATTCCCTCAACATGGGCTCCAGAGAAGAGCCAGACCTCAGGGTCCCCTCAAGGCAGCCAGCACTTACCTTGGCTCCATGGGAATGCCATCTGGCAGTCGTCTTTGTTTGGCCGCTCAGCCTCCTGGAGGAAGATGTTTCAAGCAGGGCTCTTTGGGCACTGTGTAAAGACCAGCAGCTCTCAGAATTAAACAGGAAGTCGGGGGGCTAGAGGATACAGAGAAATGCCTTCATCAAGGGCCTTAGTCTGAAACCAGGGACCCAGAAACCACTTGCCCCTCCCATCACCCCTGTTTCCAGCCCTATGTCAACAGGGGTGTGGATTTGGGGAGCCCTGGAGTATGGGAAGAGAAATGGAATATGATCGACGCAGCCAGAGAGAGGGGCCGAGGAAGGTTTGACACAGGTAACGGCAGAATCATAAACGATAAGTAGGAGTTAGCTACACACAGAGAGGTGCAATTGGAAGAGTATCCATTCCAGACATCAAAATAACAACTCAAGAATGATATTTAAGTACTTTTTTTTTCTTAAAAAGATGACCAGAAAGGGGATCTCAACCCTTGGCTTGGTGTTGTCAGCACCACGCTCATCCAGTGAGCTAACCGGCCATCCCTATATAGGATCCGAACCCGTGGCCTTGGTGTTATTAGCACCGCACTCTCCCAAGTGAGCCACAGGCCGGCCCAATATTTAAGTACTTTTAAACCTTTTAAGTACTTGTCAGGGTCTGACAGCAACCTCCACATGCGTCACCCGAGCCCTAGTCTCTCCAGCCCAATCCCTAGCAGATTCCAGAGTCACATAAACATTCCCTGGGCACAGCTCCCACCTCATCACGCATCGGTCTAAAACCTATAATGAATGCTTCCCATTCCCTATAAAGGAACTGCACTATCCCAGTCTGGCAGATGCCAACTTCTGCACCCGGAGCTCACCACAGTCCTCACCCTCTGACACTCCCACCAAGTCAGGCCAAGTCCCCTGTTCCCTACAAAGCATCTTTCCAGTTCCTGCCTCCGACTTTGTCCAGGTTGTGCTCTCTAGCTCCTTCCCCATCTTCCAGCTGGGAGCTACAGAGACAATAGGACAGAATGTGTACCGAAAGGTAGGGAGGCAGAAGTTCAGGGAAGATGCCTGGACACACCCTGGGCTTGTTTAGGAGGAAAGGAGCCTGGAGAACAGAACAGAGGGTCAGATTCTGAGCGCCCACGCTTCGCCTCCAGAGGCCTACTCCCAGACTCCGGCGCAGTCGGGCTACTTGGAGCCCCATAGGCGGGGGCACAAACAGCTAAGCCGAGCCCGGCTAAGGGAGTGGAGCTAGTTCTCAGAGTCCTGGGCTCTGCTCCTCTCCGAGACTCAGTTTCCCTCTCCAAACAGGGTCGGAGCTGGATCCCACCCAGACCCTACCCCCCAGTCCCTTAGTTGCTTATGTAGTCGGGCAACGCCCTCACTTACCCAGCTCGAGCACTGCGGGGTCGCCGCGGAGTGCGAGGGTCCGCTGTATCCAGGACGCGCCGCAGCAGTGTACGCGGCGTATGACTGCTGCCGGAACTGCGGCTGTCCGCCATGGCCTCAGCCAACCGCTCAAGCACCTCAGGTGCTGCGTTCCCGCCGCCGCATTTAAGGTAATTCTCGCGATGCTGCGCACAGCCCCACGGGAATTGTAGTTCTCGCCCTACCCCTGCGCGCTGTGTGTACATTGGTTGTTGCAAACTACGGCTGCTTTGGAGGCAGCGTTACCTGGGCGTGAACTTGGGCAAATGTAAGCAACCAGTCTAAGTTTTGGTTTCCTCATCTGTAAATTGAGAATGACACCCACCTAATAAGGGGCTTGTAATGATTCAAGGAGTTAATGCTTAACTGAGGTGCTGACACATAGTAAGCCACGGCATCAATAAATAGCAGTCGCTATTTTTAGAATGCCTTTCATTCCCATCTCCCTCTCCGAAGATAAGGAGAGACACTAAAGCCAGGAAAAATAATTTTATCCTATATGTGATCTGGTCAGATTTTCATTTGCAAAGATGGTTCTGTCTATAGGATCTGTATGTATCAGAAGAGACCAGGTTGCAGGCTCCAAAGCTAATGGGCTGTTTGTGATACAACACAGATGTTATGATCTCCAAACATATGCAATTTGAGATGAATTCTGGCTCTCAAAATTTCTGTTAATTCTGGAGATACTTACCATATTCTGATAGCTCTTACCATGTTTTTCACCAATCGACAGGCCCGCAATCTTTCTTGTTTTTTTTTTTTTTTTTTTTTTACATTTTATTTATGTATCTATTCATTTTAAGTTTTGATGGCAACTGAATTAGAACTTGGTTTCTGAGTCTCAGTGGAGTTCTTTTTGCCAGAATCTCCTCCTAGATCAGGGGTAGTTTCAGATACTTGAGACAGGCGTGGGCATATTTGTGCTTGTTAAAAACTGAATCAAAGAAAAAATTGTTTCCCAGAATAAAAGAACTGTAGAGGAAAAGCATATCGATATTCCTTGTCATTTAGATCTGAACTCTGTGTTATCTAATTTGCTAGCCCTCTGCGGATACATTTCCATGGTCACTATCAACCACGTATATGCAGTTTTTATTTATTTATTAGTAAAACCTTAAACTGGAGGGCCAGCCCATGGCTCACTTGGGAGAGTGTGGTGCTGATAACACCAAAGCCACGGGTTCAGATCCCATATAGGGATGGCTGGTTAGCTTCCTGGGTGAGCGTGGTGCTGACAACACCAAGTCAAGGGTTAAGATCCCCTTACCGGTCATCTTTAAAAAAAAAAAAAAAACACCTTAAACTGGATAATATGGAAAAAACACAAAAATTTTTCAAAACAGTTTGGAACACAACCTTCAGTCTTTGCACAGTATTATTCTGTGTTCACATAATTAAACTTTATATTTATTACTACTTGTTTAAAGAAAACAACAAAAAAACATTGGGGTGAAGTGAGGGAGAGAGCAGTGAGAGGCGGCAAGGGCCAGACTATGCGGTATGTTACAGGCTCTGGGAAAGAGTTTGGACATTATTCTAAATGGAATAGGAAGCCACTGGAGGGATTTAAGCAGAGGCATGATGTAATCAGATTTTCTTTGGCAGTCATGTGAAGAACAGATTGTAGGGGAGGCAAGATTGGAAGCAGAGAGACACGTGATGAGATTCTTGCCTTTCTCCAGAGGTGACAAGATAGAGAGTGAGCAGGATGGTGGGGGTGGGGAGAAAGCCGAATATTCCAGATATGCTTTTAATGTAGAAGATTAAGTGTAGATTATAGGTGATTTTATGTATTGAAAGGTAGTGTTTTGTCGGGTATAATCTTCAATGCTCTGTGCATAAAAAATTATATCTATAACCCCTTGGGTTCAGATCCTCATTCCAGCCAACTGCTAAAAAAGAAAAAAAAGAAATATCAATTTGAGCAAGGTGAGTCTCTTTTTTGTTTTAAAGGTTACTGGTAAGGGGATCTTAACCCTTGACTTGGTGTTGTCAGCACCACGCTCACCCAGTGAGCCAACCGGCCATCCCTATATAGGATCTGAACCCACGGCCTTGGTGTTATCAGCACCACACTCTCCCGAGTGAGCCACGGGCCGGCCCTGATGTACAGCTTTTACTAAGTGCTACACACACCAGATCTCTGAATTTGAAGGGGTTCAAGCTGTGGATCTCAGCTGCATAGACCAAGAGGAATGGCACTTTCTCAGTTACAGGTCAGTGAACACCACACAAATAACCAAGGATCACACTGATTGTAAACAGAAATGCAATGGTAATGTCTGGGTGTTGGGACTAGAAAAAGTTCTCTTTTTTTCTCATTGTTGTGTATTTTTCTTTTTCTTTTTCTTTTTTTTTTTTTGTCTTTTTTCATGTCCGGCAATGGGATCGCAACCCTCGGTGTTGCAGCCGCACCTTGCTCAGCCAGTGAGCGGGAACCGGTCTGTATGTGGGATCCGAACCCTCGGCGGGAGTGCCGCCGTGCTCCCAAGCGGCGCACTGTAGCAGCGTGCCACCGGGCCGGCCCTTGTTGTGTATTTTTCTAAAACATTTTAGGCATAGATCCCCTTTATAATAAAGGACAACAAACTAAAATAATAATAATAATAGTTAACCTGGAGAGTTATTTTTTCTTTTGCAAGCTTTTCAATACCCTGATCTATTGTTTTCCTATCAAGTCATTATAAATAAAATATACTAGGCGTTTCCATTTCATATCTGTAAACTGTTATCAGGAGAGAAAAAATGAGAAGGGAGAATTAGAAGAAAAGGTGAGGAAGGGCAACAAAAAGTGGGAGAAAGGGAGAAGTGAGAAGAAGTGGGCTAGTTTGCAGGTAATTCCTGGACTACCTGGCTCCTCCCTGGTTTTCCACAACCTCTCTCACTCTTTAAAACATTTTCCCCCAAAAAAGTCAAGGGAGGGAGTAAGTGTCTTGTTACAAAGCACATCATTTGCTTGACTCCCTTCTAACAGTTCCCAGTCGCCTGCAGAATAAAATCCCAAATCCTTTCACACGGCCCAGTTTGGTATCTTTCCGTGCTTCTACTACCCTGGCCGCCCCCTTCCAGGTTCTTTAAGGAGGAGCCTCGCTCCTTCCTGCCTCAGGGCCTTACTTGCTGGTTCCTGGGGCAAGAACCAGCTACTCCTCCCTACCCAAGCCTTTCGTTTTTTCTTCCTGGGCCTCCGCCTCCCATTTTCACCTCTGTCCAGTTCATTCCTTTGGAGTGTTTATTTCTCTGACTAAACATCCATTCGCGTGCATTCACAGCTATCGTACAAAAGACACATCCTCATCCCTTTAGGTAGTCAGGATCCCGGAGGGAGGGGTCGGGTAGGTCTGGATCTCCCGAAGTTCCTGCACTGTGCCCGGCACATAATAGTCGACTGTTGGTGACTTAGTTTAGGTCAAAAAGTGAGTCAACGTAAGCAGGGGCTGAGTCGGAAGAGAGTCCCCAACAAAGAGAAAGGGGCTCCTGAGGTCCTTCGGACGCTGAGGCCCAGATTTCCTCTCCCTCCCTCCACAGGAATGTCGTCGACTCAAAGGCGCTTAGGGTTAGAGGACGGCTTCTGGATGCAGGACAACCTCGCCCGAATCCCGATCCGCAGTATCTCCACTCTCCCTTAGGCGGCGCTCTAGGCTGCAGGCGCCAAGTTCAGCGCGAGGCATCACGGGACTTGTAGTCTTCGCGTATACATACGCATAACGCTTGCGCACTGGTAAGACGCGCCCCCACCCCCATCAGGATTCCGGGTCCTTGTGAGGGGCAGTCCAGGCGACAGCGTTCCAACCGAATACACCTCTCTCGTCTGCCAGAAACGAGCCGAGTTGGGGAAAGAATCTGGTCTGCAGGGCTATTGCGGTTCCCTGGAAAATAGCCGGAATAAGCCCACTCCCGCTCCGGAAGTGAGCGGCTTCTGGCGCGGTGCATTGTGGGGGGCGTAGTCCTTCTTCGCAGGCGGTCCTTCGTGGCGTCCCCGGGGCCGATTCCGGAGCGCAAGCGGGCGGCCGGGCAGGCGGCAAGGCGCGGGACGGCGGGAGGCGTATTCTGAGCACGGGCCGCCGGGTGGGGCCGGCTGCGCCAAGCGGCATTAGTGGGAGGCCGTCCAAGGCCTCGCGCGGCGCCGCCCGTCGAGGGGCGGGCGGCGGCGGACCTACCGGGCCGTCGAAGGACGCAGGAGGTTGGTGGGCCGGGCCGGGCTGGGCCGCGCGGCGCAGCCATGCCTGGCTTTACGTGCTGCGTGCCGGGCTGCTACAACAACTCGCACCGGGACAAGGCGCTGCACTTCTACACGTTTCCCAAGGACGCCGAGTTGCGGCGCCTCTGGCTCAAGAATGTGTCCCGTGCCGGCGTCAGTGGGTGCTTCTCCACCTTCCAGCCCACCACGGGCCACCGTCTCTGCAGCGTTCACTTCCAGGGCGGCCGCAAAACCTACACGGTGCGCGTCCCCACCATCTTCCCGCTGCGCGGCGTCAACGAGCGCAAAGTAGCGCGCAGACCTGCGGGGGCCGCGGCTGCTCGCCGCAGGCAGCAGCAACAGCAACAGCACCAGCAGCCGCCGCCGCAGCAGCCGTCGCCGTCCGCCTCCACTGTCCAGACCGCCCAGCTGCAGCCGAACTTGGTGTCTGCCTCCGCGGCCGTGCTCCTCACCCTTCAGGCCGCTGTAGACAGCGGCCAGGCTCCGGGATCCGTGCCGCCGGCACCCACCGCTCCAACCGGAGAAGACGTGAAGCCCATCGACCTTACAGTGCAAGTGGAGTTCGCAGCTGCAGAGGGCGCAGCCGCTGCGGCTGCCGCGTCCGAGCTAGAGGCTGCAACGGCAGGGCTGGAGGCCGCCGAGTGCCCTGTGGGCCCGCAGTTGGTGGTGGTAGGGGAAGAGGGCTTCCCTGATACTGGCTCTGACCACTCGTACTCGTTGTCGTCAGGCACCACGGAGGAGGAGCTCCTGCGCAAGCTGAACGAGCAGCGGGACATCCTGGCGCTGATGGAAGTGAAGATGAAAGAGATGAAGGGCAGCATCCGCCACCTGCGTCTCACCGAGGCTAAACTGCGCGAAGAACTGCGCGAGAAGGATCGTCTGCTTGCCATGGCTGTCATCCGCAAGAAGCACGGAATGTGAACAGGTCCCATGCGGCCTGCGGGACTCCCGGACTCCTTCCAGCCCAGGGGGACCTCAGGCCACTGTTGAACGCCCCTAAACTCCTGGGGCACTGGTTGACAGTATTGAGGCTTAGGGCAGTTGGACTCTTGCTGATCGGCACCCTCATTTGTTTTCTCTTGGAGCAGGGGTCTGGGCCTTAGACGCTGCACTGGTGACACCAGCAATTATGACTTTGTCTACCCTCCCTCTCCAGTTTATGTCGCAGATTCTGATTAAGCAGAAGCTTCAGAACCACTGAACTTGAAACTTACCCCCCTAGGAATGCAGGTGGAATGCCCAGGGACTATGGGTTTGGCAAAACTACACCTTAAGGTTGGCCAGCAATCAGAGACAACTCTTCAGTGTGTAGTGATAAGAGATCCAAGTAACATCAGTTCTCCTTTTCATGCTTTTCCTTCCCAGGTGCAGCCTGTGCTTCTGATGGGGACTGGTAGATCTGTGCCTCTGCCTCCTAGGACCTCACTTCGAAGCCAGGAGGCCATTTACGAGGGGATCTGGGTGACCTGATGGAGATCCAGCTTGCCAGGGACTTAGGTTTATCCTGTTATGTTTGCTACTGGTTACAAATTCTATTTTCTGTACAATTAGTCAGACTAAAGTTTTCACTGTGTTTGTTTGGCAAAACAAATTAAACAAAAAGTTAAGGTTTTTATTTGGGTTTCGCTGTTTTATTTTTACAAAAGCTCAGCTAAGTGTCCTTGAAATATGGGGAAATAGGCCTCAGCCTATTTGAAAGACCAGGCTGACCCTGAGAGTAGAGATGCTTCAGTGACCAGATTTCTCCAAGGGGCCCTAAGCACATGGATCCTCAAAGTCCTCACAGAGTTCCTGGCCCAGCTCGCCCCAAAGAGTTTGGAAATTGCACCAAATGGTCCGAGTTTGTCCATGGGTTATCTCCCCATAACCTTTCAAAAGGAAGGAACAACTGAGAACTAAGCTGAATTGTGATAGCCCACCTCTAAGGGTTTTGAATTCCCTCTTGCATTCTCACCTGGGGTTGAATTTTGCTCACCATTGCATCCCTTAGGCCTAACAGATCTGGTACACATATGCATACAGTTACTTAAGAAACCAGTAAAGACCACACCTGGAAGCCAGCCATGGCTCCTTCAGGAACAAGGACTCTTGTACAGATACCTTGGCCTTGGTACACCTTCAGTGTGAAGGAGCTGGATTCATTTTCTTGGCTGCCTCTATTTTTCTTTCAATATTGGAGGGACGAAGGTGATATTTTATGTATAGCTTCAAGTAATTTACCTCAAAGCCAATGGAGAAAGGTGAATACCTTTAAAGCTAGCCCTATTTACTATGGGTGTTGGGGTACAAATGGACTCTTCTCAGACTCAATAAATGTGATTCCTTTCTCTGTGTTATTTATGGACAAAGCTATGCTGCCTGGGGACTTGACCTGTGGCTGTGAGCTGGAATGACCCTAAAACTCTAGTCTCTACTTCCCTTTTGGTCCCTTGGCACTGAGTTGGGAAACAGGTCTCTGGTGGGGAAAGGGTGGGGTGTGGCATAGGTTGTGTAGGTGCCTCGGGGGGAGGGCTGGATCTCTGCCTTCCTAGGGTTAGCTTTGGCTGGTAATCATGTGGTAGAAGCATAGCAGTGCCCTATCTAGACCAGCTGGGGCTGAAGCCCTGCGTATGCCCCTATTGGGCCAGTCTCTCATGTCCCCACTCTCCTTCCTTGGAGAGAGGGCTTTCCCAAGGTCCAGCCATGCATGCTCTTTAGTGTATCCTTGAGTTCCTGTTTGTTGAAGGGACTTCTGTTGTTTCTGCATTGGCTGTCTCTCAGGACCCTCCCTGGTGTCTGCAGGTTTTATGCACATAACTTGTCCAGTGTTTTGGCTTCTTGTGGGGGAGGAGGACAGTTCACAGAGCAAAGGAGGACCCAGATGTAGATACATCACAAGCAGGGCAATGCAGCGTTCTCATTGGCTGAGTAATAAGAGAAGCATCTAGTCAGGTCAAGTGCAGTATGGACAGACCTGGAAGCTTGGCCTGGTCTCACCAGCCATCCCTGGGGGGGCAGGGGAGAGTGGGTAAAGGTGCAAAACTCTTCTAGAAAAACAGGAGTACTGGGGCTGTCTGGTTAGCTCAGTTAGTTAGAGCGTGATGCTGTTAACAGCAAGGTCCACGGTTCGATCCCTGTACTGGCCAGCCACCCAAAAAAAAGAAAGAAAGAAAGAAAAAAAAAAAAAAAAAAAAAAAGGAGTACTGAAAGATCTCTGGTCAGGACGAAAGGCTAGGAGCTGCCTGGAGAAGGCTTGAAGCCATTTCCCTTACATGTGGTCCCCTAGGTTGGCTGCAGAGCTGTTTGCCCAGCACAGGCCTGACCTAGAGACAGGCCTTACTTCAAATGTTTGCGTTACCAAGGAAACGATGAAATGGGCGTTGAAAGGAAAGAGCAACGGATGGGAGGATTATTTATGATCTGGTCACTTAAAAGGAAATTTTGGATGAGCCAATTATTTCTCTTTCCTCATTAATACAAATGAAACTCTTAGCTGCCCCGTCTGCTACAAAAAACTTATGAGAATGTTTTGGAGACTCCTAACTGTACAAGCGTGAGAGTAGCTTCCCCTCCTGCCAAGCCCCACCTGAGGGACAATCGAGACTCGTCCTGCTCGAAACCAGCTTTGGGCCCCACGGGCCCCGGAGCAGGGCGTACTAACGTTGGGACAACAGAAGCTGTGGGTTCCGCCCCAGCTCTAAAGAGCCAAGGAGACAGCCAGATTCCCAAAGGGGAGGGGGTTTCGCGAGCGGAAAAAGCCCAGGGGCCCAGGGAGGGGCGGATGGGCCAGCTTGGGGCCGGGCTCCCACGGAGGCGGGGCCAACCCCCTTCGGCCGAACAGCCTGGGCGGGGCCGGGCCAGCTGGGACCCGGCGACTACTGAGCGCTGACCCTCTCTTGGCGCCAATCCCCAGTGTTCCAGAGGCTTCCGCTAGACCACAATTCTCAGGGGCTCGCCCCGGCAGCGTCCCTCCCTGGCTTAGCCTCACCTCCCGCGCTGCAGGCCGTGTCTGGGCCTCCTTGCGTAGCACACCGGGAACTGTAGTTTTCTCCTGGTACACTTACGCCGGAAAGGAGAGCGGTGGGACTGCGTTTCCCAGACTGCAGCGGGGCGGGCGAGGGAAGGCAGGGGGGAAGGGACAGTCGGTCGCAGACCGCGCTGGGTTGCTGCCGCCGCTGCCGCCATCGTGCCAGCCCCTCGGGTGAGTGTCGGGGCCGGCGCGCTGGGGCGGGGGCTGGGCCGCAGGAGCCGCGCTCTGGACCGCCGGGAGCCTCTGCTAAAAGTCCCCGGGCGGCCCCTCCCCACCCCCCTGGCTGCCCGAAGCCGCGCGGGGCCGGGGCCATGTGTCGCGCGCGGCTCCGCCTCCCACCCGTCCTCTGAGGCGGTGGCTAGGGACAGTGCAGAGAGTCAGCCAGGCGCTTATCCAGCCTGTTCCATGCCCATGGCTGGTGCACCAGACTGCGCCATGGCAAGCCCTTTTACTCTGGTCAGGACCATCCGGATGGGGCTATGAGGGCCCCGCCCCGTGTGGCCTGACCCGGCCTGCTCGAGTCCCGCAAGCTCTGCAGGCAGGGTAGCGGGCAGACCCCACCCCCACGTCCTGCCACCCGCCTGCGAAGGATCCGGGGATGGGCAACACCACCCGGCCCGCTCCAGAGTCAACATGGGTAAGGGCGCCCACCTGCCGCCGCCGGGGCTTGGGACCCTCATCTGGTTCCCCACCATAGCCCGGCTAGGGTGTAGGTGAACGCTCCCCTGCTTGTCTGTCCGCTGGGAGTGCACGAAACCTACCGCTCCCTCCGTGGAACCCATGCGTAGGTTCTCCTGCATAGAGGGCGGGGTCAGAGAACCTGGGGCGGGAGGGGGCTTCACGTGGGACTTTACCCCTGGCCAGCTTGGAGGATGTGAGTCTGATGCGGTGAGGAGCCTCTGGGATTGTAGGCCCAGCCCCACCCTTCTCTATCAGTGACCAGGCCCCAGCTCTGGGTGGGTTGGCCGGCTGTTAGTGGAGAAAGGGAGGAAGCCAAGGAGGTGAAGTTGGATAATTTGTGCTTCTAAGACTTTATTAGACTTCTCAGGCACCGCCTAATTCTTACATCTTCCTCTCCTCGAGTGAGCACACCATTGCCCCACAGAAGAGGATGACTCCAAAAGAATGGGATGTTAGGTGGTGATAAGGTGGGATTTCATGTAGGGGGAAGTAGAATCCAGGCCTGAGGTCTATGAGCCCCGTGTCAACCAAGAGACTGGACTGGAAGGGACCTTGGGGGTGGGGCACATTTGTGCTGAAAGGCTCAGGTTCAGATTAGGTGGGGTCCTTCTGAAGCCTGGGTGGCAGCTAGTGTTGGAAGCTGCAGAAAGTCAGGCTTCCACTTGCTAGCTAACTTCTCATCAGCTGGGGTTGTCTATAACCAGGCAAGAAACTGGTTGGGCCTTGGGAAATTGCCCTTAATGATGGCACCAGAAACCCCACAGAGTTCTGGAAGAAGGGTTATATCTGGCCAGAAAGTGCTATTGTTACAAGCCTCATAAAGGCACTTCTGATTGAGTGATGATAAATTAAGGGACCAGTCCAGTGAAGACCTTGGGACTTGGGGGAGAGATAGCATGTCAAGCCTTGAATCCTCTGACCTAGTGTGCCTTCTGAGCCACGGTTCTTGCAGGGTCTAAAGAAGCAACTCAGTCTCTGCAGTCCTGGCCTCAGCAGCAAGCAGAATGCCCAGTCTCTTAGGAGGTCGAAGTTAGGCCCATGATGCAGAAAGCCACTGCCCTGGCCTTTCCCCTGCTCTCCCACTTTGAGTATTTCCCCACGTGATGTTTTTCTGGTCATTGTACTCTTTTTTTTTTTTTTTTTTTTTTTTAAAATGACCGGTAAGGGGATCCTAATCCTTGACTTGGTGTTGTCAGCACCACGCCCAGCCAGTGAGCGAACCGGCCATCCCTATATGGGATCCGAACCCAGGGCCTTGGTGTTATCAGCACCGCACTCTCCCGAGTGAGCCACTGGGCCAGCCCGTGGTCATTGTACTCTTGATTTGGAAGTTTTCCTATAGTTGAATTTCCTACAGTTCTCCCTGGTCAAGGAGAACAGGGAAGGATGCTACTCAGATCTCACCAGGGCATACCTTCTGTCTGGACAGCTGTCCTAGTCCACATCCTGGCTCATGAGCATATGGAAGTCAGGTTCATTCAGCAGGCTCAGGAGAAGCCTGGATTGCCAGTGGTGGTGGGCAATAAAGAGAGACACATAGGGCCAGCCTGTGGCTCACTCGGGAGAGTGCAGTGCTGATAACACCAAGGTCACGAGTTCGGATCCCATATAGGGATGGCTGGTTAGCTCAATGGCTGAGTGTGGTGCTGAAAACACCAAGCTAAGGGTTCAGATCCCCTTACCGGTCATCTTTAAAAAAAAAAAAAGAGGGACACACAGTGGACATAGGGTCAGTGAGGTGGAATCTCTTAGAACAAGAGGCTTATTTCAAGACTCTCTAGATTGTCTGGAGTGGTACTTTCTAGGACACAGGTTTCAGTGAGCAAGGCTTATGGCTATGGATTAGTTTGCATATTCCAAGGCCCTGGGTGCCTTGACCACAAGTGTTTTTCTTCAGGGTCAAAAATATATTCTTCCTTCTCCAAGGTTACCCAGGAGTAGGAGGAATTCAGGTCCCTCTTTCTCATTCCAATCCCTCTAGAAGTTCCCTGTGACTTCCCCCCCGCCCGCCCCCTGTAACTTCTTTGTCTCAGGTCAGCTAGCCATTGCTGAGCATCCTGACCCCAAGAAGTCCTTGACCTTTTTGGAACTTGGCAAACCATCTCGGTCTCAGATAAGAGAATCGTGAGGTTCTCAGGATCTGTCTGTCTGTCTGCCCTCTGTTAATGTAGGGCTGACTTGGAAGTGGGGGTGACATGGGGCAGTTGGGATACAGCTGCACAGCATAGGGCAGGGTGTCAGGATGCCTGGGTTCTCAACCAGCTCAAAATTAGGTCCCTTAGTGACTAAGAGCCCACTCTCTCTGAGCCATGTCTCATTTTATTCTGTTATCTTTGCAGTTGGTGGGTTGGGATGGGATGAACAATTTAACAGAGACACAGAATTCTCAAATTTTAGAGTTGGAAGGCACCTTGTATCAAAAATTCTAGGATTCCCTTTATTGAGGCATTAATATCTTGGTTGAAGTTATTTTCTTTCTTGCCAATGACCAGTTTTACTCAGCAACCTGCCCTCTGTGTCTCAGGCTCTGATATACCTCCAGATTGCTGTGGCTGTTGGCTTCCACAACTTGCTTTTCTTTGGTCTCCCAAAGGTCTCTGCCGGGTGTTCTCACAGTGCTTGGAAATCTCACCAGCACTTTGTTGTTTGTGGCCTTCCAAACCCCTGCCTGGAAACTAGCTTTGTGACTTCTGCCCCTTTCACTGAGATTCTCTCATGGTCACCTTTATTCAAGTGCTGAGTAGTTGTTCCTTGAGTGATACCCATCAGGGCATCTTTCCATGGTGAAAGACAGAGTAGCCCTCCCCAGAGATGGAAGGTTCAGCAGACCTGGTTAAGGAGGCTCCTTGGGTGTTCCTTCAATAGATTGCTTGGGAGGTTAGAAACAGGGACAAGAGCCAGCAGGGACTTTGGAAATGCCAATACTGCTTGTTTTAGAATCATAAGAGAGGTGTGTCTGGGGTACCTGGGAACTGAGGCTGTTTGCCTTAGTATCTTCAGTAAACTGGGGCAGTTTTGGAATGTTTGTTTCTTAAAGCCTCAGATACTCTATCAGAGCCACTGGGTCTGACCAGGGCAGAAACTGGAGAGCCTGCTGCCCCCTGGAAGGATATCTGTATGGAGACTTTGATCTCACTTGCAGGTGGTTTCAGGCCTCGGAGAATGCAAGTTGTCAGTTGTCCCTATGATGTAAACCTCTTTTGACCTACTGGGTATGTGCTCAGGTATCTCCATTCTGAAATGCTTGGGGCTTGTTGATTTCAGAGGGGAAGAAAAGGCCTGGGCTCTTTTCTTAACTTCCTGATTTTGCCACCCGTGTGCTTTCTGCTATTCCACATTGACTCTCAGCTATTCCAATCCTGATCAATTTCGTGGACATTCTAGTGCTGGCTATGCCAGTGGCCTTGTGTGGTCTGGAATTCTTTCTTAACTGCTTCTTCATCTACAAAGTGAAGATCTAATCATACCAGCTTTACAGGGTTTGTTGTAAGGCTCAAATGAGAGAGCACACAGAAGTGTTTGACTTGCAGGAGGCATTCTCTCCATCACTCTTTGGGCTCCATATTCATCCCTACTCTTCTCAGTCTCAGGGTATCACAGTGGTGTTGTCCAGGCATGGAAGTGGCCATTTAGGGGCCTCAGGCACTAGGGGCATCAGGTCCATGTGTACCTGACCAGCAAGTTCATGGCCTGAAGCTCAGTTCAGAGATGGGAGCTGTTTAGAAAGACTGGACCCCCTAGATCTTCTGAGCCACCTAGGAAATGGAGGTTACTCAGGGAGTAAGTTCAGAGCAGAGAGACCAGAATGTGGGTCTCAAGATTAGCTTCTGGGACAGTCAGGGCAGCCCAGTGGCTCTAGAGCCCTCATTCCAGGCAGAAGGGGAAGAAAAGGCCCTCAGGGTGCTGGAGACACCTAGACTTTAGGTGTCAGACCTAGGAAAGCATTCTGTCCTGACCAGCCATTTGGGTACCAGATGTTGGCTTATTTCTCTCCAGGTTTCAGGCAAGGGAGTGGTAGGCTGGGCTGTTGCTATTCCTGGATCAAGGCCTGCTCCATGGTAGTCTCCCTGCAGGAAGCTGAGGTACCTGCTTTCTTCCTAGCTGTTGACCTAGTATTCACCTAGGACCCATCAATAACTCCTTTCAACTAGGTCCCGCTTTATATACTTAGTTAATTTTCTTCTCATGTCCCCACAGTTACCGATGAGACAGGGTCAGAGGATCACACCATGAGGGAGAGGTGGAGCAGACTAGAGGCTACATTTTCTAGAGTATGGCTGTGTGCCTGCTCTTCAGCCACAGCTGCCCCTCAGGTGACCAGGCCCTTGGGAGTGAGAGAGGGGATTGGGCCTAGTCCCACTTGCCACATGCTATAGACAGTAGTTGGGTGGATCACAAAGTATTATTTCCTGACAACTTGGACAGAAGGTGTGGGTGGAGGGGAAGTGGGTCACTGGGCCACTTAAATTGAGCAGGGTTTGTCCAGAAGTCACTCCTCCTCCAGAGAAGGCCTGCCCTCTCAGCCCAGGTGCCTATGCGTTCATGTACTTAGTCAACAAGTAATTATTGAGGACTGGGCCACGTATCATGGGAACAGGGGTGACTAAGGGTACCCTGGTCAGGGAGACAGACCATAAACAAATACTTAAGTAGGACAGTCTCACGCAGTGGTAAATGCTAAGAAAACAATAGAAGAGGTAAAATTAGTAACTAGACAACTACTTCATTTATTTATTTACTTTTTAGACAGCTACTTTAGACTGACTGGTCAGGGAAGGTGTTGGTAAGGAGGTAACATCTGAGCTGACACGTATGTGACAAGGAGCCAGACACATGAAAGTCTAGGGAGAAGAGTGATTCAGGTAGAAGCAGCAGCAGTTGCAAAGCCTTCCAGTGAGAATAGGCTCAGCATGTTCCACAAAGAAGAAGGTGTACAGTGTGGCTGCAGAGGAGAGA